GGAAGGGGGCCAACACTTTTTCACACCACTGTATATATATTTAAAAGTACAGAATATGCATCTTGTTATTCTAATTTATCTGAATCTCATCCTTTTTTCCATTCACTTCTGTGTTTCAGTCCAAACCCTGGCTTTAGTCGGAATTGCCAGGCATGCGGATCAGGCTGCAGGGCTCTGGCCACACGGGCCGTCTCCTCTCAGAGCTCAACCGCTGCCGTCTGTCTCGCCTCCTGTGCGACGTCGTCCTCCAGGTCGGAGGCCGTTCCTTCCCTGCTCATCGTGTGGTGTTGGCATGCTCTTGCAGGCACTTTAACAGCCTCTTCTCCAGAGGTTCTGGCAACCAGGGTGCTGTTCCCACCACTTTCTCTCTGGACTTTGTCTCTGCCGCCAATTTCGAGAAGGTCTTGACTTTTATCTACACGGGTGAGATTTTCACAGACTTGATCGATGTGGGTGTGCTGTATGAGTTGGCGGAAAGGCTTGGTGTGAGGGAGTTGGTGAACGCTTGCCATACCACCTTTCCTGACCTGCAGAACTCCAGCTCTGGAGACGCGGTTGCCGAAGGGGATTTGGAAAGCGATTTGGTGTCGGCCAATGCCGCGGCTGCGTCTGTTTGCTCGTCCTCTGCAGCATCCTGCTCCTCGTTGTCTTCTTCAGCCGCTCCCACTCCTGTAACTCCATCTCCGGTTTCTCAAGGCAGGAACGGCAGGTTGAATCGCTCCCACTTGGCCACCCAATCGCCAAAAAATGAAGACTTGCAGGTACATTTGGGTTACAATCAACAGTTGACCAACAAGGCAAGTCCTTCGGACAGGAACCGTTCTACAGATGCTCTTCCTGGACTGACTTTGCAGCTCAAGACTGAGCAGGAGGATGAAGGAGAAGATGCAGGAAGTAACTCAGTGGACCAGCTTGTTGTTAATGGTAGCAAATCAACGTTTGGGCCTCAGGAACCATGTTCCGTCCCTGATTCTTCAGCCCAGCTTGGAGGGGAAACCTGCGCCCCTTCGTCGTCCTCTAATGACCCCTTGGACAGTTTGCAGCTGGGGGCCGTTGTGGGACCAATCAAAGATTCAGATTTTTTTGAGGAAGATGATTCTAGGAAGAGGCACCGACTACAGGAAGAGCAGACGGAGGGCAGCGATCAGTGGGGAGGACTTTCAGAAGACATCATTGAGCTGAGCGACGAGGAGGAGCACTTCATTGTGGAGGAAGTGGACGACGAGGACTTGATGTGCATCGAGAATGGAGAAAACGGGGCGTCTCTCAGGCAGCTGGCGTCATCGCAGCCGTGCAAATCCTGCGGGATGCTACTTCCGGTGGAAAACGCTGTTATACGAACTCATGCTGAGACGCACCTCTCGGAAACGGGTTTGTGTCAGGTGTGTGGCGCCTCTTTCTCAGACCGAGCTGCTGCTGTCGCTCACGCCCTCACACATGTGGGCATCTTGCTCTTCTCCTGCGATGTTTGTGAACATCAGTTTCGGACTGAATCTGCACTGATTCACCACAGGCGTCAGTCAGCTGCCAAGTGCGCCTCTCAAAATCCAGACCAACTGAACGGAGCCTCCCAACGACAAGGAGGGGAACTGCAGTGCACCATCTGTGCTAAATCC